AAGGGTATTCCTCTACCTTCATTATGTAGAGTCCGGAGTTGAGGGGAATTACCAAGCAAGTAAGGGTGTCAAACACTGCAAGAACTTGGTATAGGAAGCTTGGGACAGAGAGGGGTTTCCTGTAGTTGTAGAAGAAGACTAGGGGATTGAGGAGTGTAGAGGTTATCGTGAGGAGGAGGAGGACTAGGAGGACGGTGATGTCGGGAAGTGTTGTGCCTCCTTCACTGAACAGAGCCATATTATCTTGGGGAGTAATTATCAATTTAGTTAACAATTTTACGTATAAATTAAACTTTAATAAGGTTAAGCCAAATCTGTTCATATCGTGGTTCAACCACGTTGTCAATCCAAATTAAGCTTAATATTTGTTTGAAAAAAACCCGCAGTTTTACCGTATAATTCGATACATTCAGAAATAAGAAAATCCAAAATTAAAAAGTAACTGTTGCTGGCAATAAGAACAACAATTAGTAAGAATATTGACGCTCATGTTATCTCTACACAATAGCTTTGTGAACAATAGATGCGGCCGCATTTCTTTTGTTGATGGCTACTCAATTTCCCGATCCGTGATGGCGTCTCTTATCATATTCCACATTACCTGGAGTAGTGGAATATCATGAATATGAAGATATGTGGCAGGTTAATAAGTGAAACAAATTCTTTGAAATATGATTGTCGATGAGCTGCGGAACAGTTTGGAGCGCGTGTTAGGAGGTCACTAAGATTTAATTGGAGACACACTTGAACGGAGAGATCCGGGATAGAACAAGTACTGTCAGCACATTTAGAGTCTTAACTTAACGAACTCTTAAAAAGAGTACGATATTGTTGTTTTTCTGTTAATTAATGTTTGCATGATTTAAATTCTTCAGGTTTTGATATACTCAAAATGTTTTAGCGTTCATTTTTCATTGCACAGATTTATATAATCGAAAAAGATTTTGTCAATCCAATTTCGAAAGGAATTTTTGTGTCCATAATTTTTTCTGTCAAATAATAATACATTATATACAAGGGTATAGAAATATGATATAAGAGTCAAGAAATTTGTATACAATTTGTCAAGTTGCCAAAGTTTCAAATTTGTATCTATTTCAGTTCTTTAATCCTACCATCTACCGCTGTGCTACGACCCCTTCACCCCTTGACAGTACCTTTTTACTCCTCTGGAAAACTCGCCTTCACAATCCTTACCAAATCATCCTGCTCCTTAGGAACTAGTCTCACAGGATCATTAAATCCCTGACCATCATAAGTGAGACTATACGTCATATCATTACTTGTCTTATCTTGTACCCAACACAGCAGCTCCTTTAGGAAGGATAGCATGCACTCCGGTCTCCAATAGTTTGATCCTGCCTTCTCCAGCTCTTTCATCGTGAATATCTGTATCTTCTCCAGATCTCCTACTCCTGTTCTGCGTCCAATGTAGACTGTGTCTATACCGAGAAGAGCACAGTGAGCCCAAATATTTCTGCATCTAAATTTTGTGAACTTTTCACGTTCTTGCCAATCTGTTTCACTTACTGCGGATGTTTTTATCTCAACGTAGTTCTCCAGGACATCCTGGTGATCCCCAGGTAATTGACAGCCGATCCTGGAGTTGGTTAGTAGTGTTAGAGGTCCTAGTTGGACAAGTCGTGGCATCCTGATATCAACATCCTCGCAAGCGTATCCGGGCGTTCTGCTCCCTCCTGTCTTCATCACATCCTCGAATACTTTACCCCAGTCTGCGTAATTGTCACCAACTGGCACACAATCATAGGGTTCGTCAGCACTCTCAAGGCACAGGGTGTTGTTGTATTTGTAAAGATTAACCTTCCACCCATTTTTTTTATTGTAGGGAGTCTGACATAACTTTTTTATCAAGTTCCGGCCAACCACTATGTCAACCTCACTCATACTGTAATTCACAGCTTCAGCCCACCTCAAGATCTTATCAACAGATGAGCACCCCAAAATTGGGTGATATGGTGCTTCTATTCTCAAACTCAGTGGTAGTTGAGTAGGAGCTTCTAGTTGAGGAATTCTGCACATTTCGGGGATATCGTCACCAGAGTGCACAGACCACACTGTCATGGGCTCCTCTGGGTTCAGGTCGTTGTATCTGCCTACTTCTTTAGCACTGAGGTGTCTCGTGTTTGTGCCACGATAATTTCTTGGCTTTTGGACCTCGAGCTGTTCCTCGGCCATATCTACTTTCCTGATAATAGTTCATTCGCCGTGTGAAATTTTTACTTAACCAGCTATCAAATTTATGCCAAACAAAGTTGAAGTAAGAAAACTAATTACCAATGATCTGATCAGACCTCAAAATCTTATACTAAGCAAGAATGGTCCAAAAAATACGGTCGTTCTGGTATCACAATATTATGTAGAGTCTTTAGCAGTTGCTTAGTTGTTGTCCGATAAAATTTACACGGAAGGAAAACGGCACACGGCATTATGCCATGAGATTGTAACATAAAACGATTACCTTAGTATTGCTGTACTTGAACCTTAGTATTGCTGTACAGCTACTATAAATCGATTGAGTATATATATATGTAATATGTAGTAGGCCTTACACTGTGCTTTCAGCAATACTCATAAGTATTTCCGTGGCTGTGGTTGCAATGCGCCTAGTCTACTGGAATGATTCTTCGGAATTTCGCTGGATTGTACAACTTTCGTCTTGGTAGATTCCATACACAAGGAAATTTTCCTTTTGGTTGGTAATATACTCAATGATGGGAGTATAGTGTATTGGCTATGCCCCGCTTACTAGTTTCGCTATTTCTAGTCCCCTGCTACACGGCATGTAAACAGGGATTGGCTAGTTAGAGACGGTCCGTGTAGGCCTTACACTGTGCTTTCAGCAATACTCATACATATTAAATACAATATGTAGATTTAGTTGAATAGTTCTATGCTACATAGTAACGGACAAAGCACATTTTTTACTGTCCTTAGAAAGTTAGAAATTATGTTTAACGAATAGCACTCTTCTTCTCAGTTGACCAACAATGACTGATGTATTTCCAGGAAATCTAAGTTTGACCCATATCTATAATATCTGAAATTTGTTGTACAATTCTGACACGAATAACTTGAGTTATTAAAGGGTAACTAAATTGAAACGAAACAAGAAATGAGGCTGCATTTCTTATGTGGATGGCTTCTCAATTTCCCGATCTATGATATTGATGGCGTCTCATATCATATTCCATATTGATTATGAAAATTATTTCTATTTCTATGCAACCCTATGCTTATCACTTATGCAAGCTGACACGGATCTGTGCACAATACGAACTCGAAATAAAGCGCAAATTACGAGAAATGAAATATGCGACACGGTGCGATGCTGAAAGAATAAGTGCCTCTGAAAATGGCACAGCTTCACGGTATAGATAGAAGTGGCCAAGATCTGCCCAGCAACAACCTACGGTGCCACATACACATCCTGTAAACATACACAATGCAAATGACAAAGGTCACACTCTGCAGAAGAATAATTGCAAAAATTTACATAACTGCCACTAGACTATGCGCTTAGTCAATAAAGACACCGTGGTTGTTATAAAAAGGAGATGATGAAGCAAGTATTCAGGAACATAGGCATGACACAAAGAAGAATGATCGGTGGGGATTGGGACCCACTTAAATCACCTTAACACAGTGCCCCTCAGTAATCCATCCTGTCACTCAAATTATTTGTTATATAGTAGTGTTGAAAGTACAAAACTGTATTAAAACTGGAAATGTAAGACTATATCTTCCATTAATGAGTGGGATGGACAATTTGCTTGACCAGTTTAGCGCCGCGCACCAACAGTAACTCAATCCAGAATATCGCACAAAAATAACTTTGCAAACATAATTATAACTTTATAATCACCACAGCAACCTTGTGCGCGGTTGGAGTGAGGACAGACGGTTCTTGACTCTTTTGTGCCTAGGGCACAAGAGTGCTGATGGGGAGGGGAGGAGGGCTTTTGTTTAAAACGTACATTGTAGATAATGAAAGATTTGGTACCGGCCAAACAAGCCTCCTACTAGTCCCCTGTCCCTTCAGAACGTGCAAAAGTTAAACTACTAAAGTACTAACATCAAACATTCAAACATTTCAACTCAAATACTATATATATTTTGTTGATTGTAATGTTGTGATTGCATAATTTATTGTAAATATGTTATATTTCAATATAATGTAACGCGATGGAAACATCTTAAGCGGGTAATATCCTGTCCAAACCCAGGATACATAACGTCATAACATGAAGACTTTGTTGTAACTTTGTATGAAAAGCATTAATAGTAGTATAATCATGAAGGAGATAACTTTACGTTATTCTATTGTCGGTTATAGAAATGAAATGCTACTCAAAATGGATTGAGAGAATGTAGAAAATGTAGAAAATTGAATGGGTACCGGTGTAAAATATCGAGAAAAAATGTGTAGATTTTCTATATCAGATCACTATTTCAATTGTAAATATACCCTACAAACACGGTCCTCAGACCTCAATAGAGGCTGAAAACTAAAAAAGGCTCTATTGAGCTATTGGAAGCTAATAGTATATACTTATAGTTACACGTGGTATAGTATAACGTTTCTAATATACAGCCTCTTATCACTAATGAATAGGAGAGCTAGGCGGCGAGTCGCACGTGTCTGTCGTTTCTACAATTATTATCTATCTTTAATTCTTTAATTACATACGTGGAGCACATATCATACTTAGTCTACAAAAATAATATATTCTTCAGCTGAGTCGCTGAATTCATCTACAACATAATTAATTTTATTATATAATATTATACTTATAAGACTTTTCAGAAAAATTATCAATTATCATTGCAACTAGTCTGTAGATAAGCGAAGGAGCCTTAATGGGAAAACGGGTGTTAATGCTATCAATGACTGTAAATTTTCTAAATTACTACCAAGAATTATAAACTATTTATCGATATTTAATGAAAATTATAAGAATTTAACTGAATTAATCTTGCAGGTGAAGTACCTGCGAGAGAGGCACCCGGATGCTAATATTGAGGTTGATGGAGGTCTGTCTCCTAAGACTATTGAGATAGCTGCAGAGGCGGGAGCTAATCTTATTGTGTCAGGTTCGTTGATCGATTGATAATGACGACTTAGCAATATAATTACCCTTTCTTTTGCGGTTAAATTTTAGATTTTGGTGGTACGAAAATATTATGATTTGTTTTTCAAAGAATCCCAAGATTTTGTTAATAAAGCTATAAGTTATTAAGTCAGCTTTGAAACTGTTAAATTAACATTACCGTGCTCCTCAGGCAGTGCAGTTGTTAAGAGCAGTGATCCTAAAGGAGTTATGACGCAACTGAGAGACGTTGTTAATAGATACAGGGACAGTGAGAAGGCAGAGGCTTAGATATTGAGACGTGTCTGAGAAGCTCTTTCCTTTTAATCACATTCCATTGAATCATCGCACAAATTTCATTTATTTATGTTTTTATTTGAATAGAGGATAGTTTTGATGGTTTCGTGTATAATCCAGTGTCTCTAATAGAACATGCCCAAACTAACTAAAAATATTTGTTCTTGTAACGTCATACCGAGACATAGTAAAGAATTTTTAAGTAGTTTTTGTGTAGGGAATAATAATATTTATAATGACGGGTATTTATTTTAGATTTTAACATACATATTTTAATCTTTTAAGTTTTATAGTGACTGTGTTACAATATTGTACATTTGGAGATATTTTCAATTACGTAAAAAAAGGTGCTCACTTTAATTGGTCGAATTATTTTTCAATTCTGTAATTTATCAGTCTAAATATTAATTTTACCAACTAAAGCCATTAAAATTCATTTTGCTAACATAACATAACACACTTCCATTATAACAGCTATGATGTTGGCGCGGACACGCCCCTCAAAGACCTGTCTCTCGCGGTGTTTATCAGCCCTAACAACCACTGTAACCACACCCCAAAAGGTCTCCTACATCACCCTCAATAACCCTGCTAAGAGGAACGCTCTTTCACTTGACATGCTTAACAGTATCATCAGTGATATCGAGTAAGATCTGATTTCAGAACTAGTAGTACAAGTAACCGTTTTTTAACCGTTTTGGACCGTTCTAGAACCGGTTGATGGTTAAATAACCACCGGCGAATAAGGTTTATTTATTGTTCAAAAATACTTTTTTTGTGTCTAAACTATCATTTTGTTTCTACAATGTTTATGAGAACAAATTCACTATCCCCTTTTCTCATTCAGATCAGTGAGTGAACAGGCTAGATGCATTGTGTTACGGTCTACTGGTACGTAATAGTTAGATAATTATAATTATACAATTAATTAGAACTTCTCATCTGTTTGATTTTTTTCTATATTTTATACATCCCGGAATTATACACCCCTATCGAATTGCGGGAAAGATGGACTTTTCTTCTGGGTTCAGTGTGTAGTATGTGGCCAAGTCACCCTGAAAGCAGCTCAGTATTTGGCAAATTTATTTTTAATTTGCGATATTTTCGCTCTGCCAATTGCAATGCGGGCTCAGAATTCTAACAATATACACTGGTTACTGCTAATCAGTTACCGTGTGATTCCATATGTTTAAATCAGGTACAGTGTTCAGTTCCGGACATGATCTGAAAGAAGTAGCAGCAGCCTCTCAGCAAGTGCATTACACCATCTTCAACAGGTGCAACGATCTCATGTTGGTAAGATATTTAGATGATGAAAGGAGATTTGAATAAACGTTATCTTTTTTTAAGAAATGAAATGGGTAATATTTCATCATAACAGTTAATCAATTCAATCATTATATACAGAAAATCGTTTATTAACAAGATCCCTTAGATCATGGCAAGCCTAAAATCAAACAATAAAGAAGACTTAGATGAAATAGTAACCAGGGTGTTTCCTTTCCGCCGATTCCTCTGTCACAGATCCGCACGAAAAGTTCCTCTTGATCGACACTACACACACTTTTAACCAAGACACTCCTCTCTTTTTCTCCTGTCCCCGGCTCACTTTGCCTCCAGACCGTCTCCTTTGTTTTGGTCTAGTGAACGCTGTGTCTTTATTGGTGTCCTCGTTATCACACGCGCTGCTCTGCACTCTGATGAGAAAGGGTCGGAGCGAGGGCTGTTTCTGCAGTTTCTGGGCAGGTTTGTGCAGGTTGTCTAGAGATAATCTGTTTTCAAGTGCCATTGGTTTTGGTCTGGCAGGGAGGGTTGGCATGGATACGTGGTGGGTCTTGCGGAGGGTTGAGGCGCTGGAGGGGTTGAAAGGGTTGATATTGGAGGGTTCGTGGATGTAGAAAGAGAATATACTCTTCTTGTCGGCTGAAGGAGAGGATGGGTCTGTGAGGGAAGTGTTTTGTGGAGACATGACAGGAGTTGTAGGTAGAGCAAGGTATAGAGTTACCGTTACCTTTAGAGTAGATAGCGGGGATGTATAACCAGGATTGTGACAGGAAGGAGTTTGAATGACAAGGATTTAGAAATAACAAAGTAAACAACTGGTTGTATTTATAGAAACGATGAAAAGTATGTGTTGTACAATATATGTTTAGATGAGGAGTGGTTACCGACGTTCTCCTATATACCGTTCTGCTTGCTCCAGTCATGTGACCGATGACGGAGTCACGTGGCACGCCTTGTAGTTGTAACCAGTACAGATCGGATATCAGGCGGTATCCTATTACCAGCCGACCGGTCTTGTTTAGAAGTTGTGATGTGAGTCGGGTAACAAGCTTGTGGACTGATAGTGGTCACAAGCTCGTTTTAACTAACGATCCAATCACAACCCTGTCAATCAGACATGTAATTATTGGTCACCTCTCAGCTCCGCGTACGTGTGGTTATACCGGGGCCCCTCTTCTTTCATCAAAGGCGCAACTATAAACATTTGATCTTTCACCCAAATCAATACCATCTCACCCACAGACCCATCCGTTAAATAACTTGCCAGTCAGACAGGGCTCTAACCCCTCTATAAACCCTCTATTAACCCCTCATCTTTCTATCCCAGATGATTGCGAATTCTAGTGCTCCAGTAATTGCAAGCGTGGACGGTTTCGCCACGGCGGCTGGATGTCAACTGGTGGCTGCCTGCCACATGGCTGTCTGTTCTCACGGGTTAGTTGTTTCTCATCTTCGTTTAGTTATACTTGAGAAGATGGTGCTCGGAACCAATTTTATGTTAAAGGAAGGGTCAATTTCTGTAAAAAAGGGGATATCTACAGTTACAAGTTTCTAGAATATCTCCTTATTAACACAAACTTAATTCAAAGTCATCCTGATTATTACAACTGGACGTCATGATCTTCACTAAACTGACGAATACTAATAGACCCCTCTTCAGATCAAAGTTTGCAACACCAGGAGTTAATATTGGGTTATTTTGCTCGACCCCAGGTGTACAGCTAGGCAGGGCGGTAAACAGGAAGCTAGCTATGGACATGCTCCTCACCGGTCAGGATTAACCTCCCAGTTCTGTTAACTCAATTAATTAACTCAATTTCAGCTTTTGCGCTTGATTTGTGATTCTAATCGTGTATTCAACACAGTGATGCACGCCGGTTCATTTTTCGCCAACCGGCGGCGGCGTGCCCAAAATGGCCCGGCGTGGCGGCGTTCGGCGGCGTGGAACATAATTTTGTCAAAATTTAGGTTTGAATTTCCAGGCCCACAAAAAATCTTACTAATACTAAGAATGGGAAAATTAGACGCCCTTTTCTTCCAGTATAAAAAGAGATCATTGTCCATATCATTCAGGTCTACGTGTTCACTTTGGTAGGCGGCGACCTCAGCCTGTAACTTAGACTTAGCGTCTTTGCTCGCTGCAGGCATACTAAATCGTTTAATGAGGTCAATCTTCTGTCGCTTGGCCTCAATTGTTTCTCCTTAGGCCCCAGGCCCAGCTTCTGTTTGAGCGTGGAACAGTACTAAATACACTAATATAGTTACTATCATAATGACTGCTTGACGATCATAATAACTATATCGTGTATTGAACAGTACTGAGACATTACACTTACCACCAGGAGAGCCCATATCATCAGAGGCAGCACTGCGGGGAGGTCTAGTATCGAGAGTGTATTCCAGCGAGGAGCTGGAAGCAGAGACTGCCAGGATAGCGAGTGTTATCGCGACTAAGAGCAACACGGTCCTCAAACTTGGAATCAAGAACTTTAACAGGTTAGTTTGGTTAATTGGTTAATTAGTTAATTAGTTAATTAGTTAATTAGTTAATTAGTTAATTAGTTTATCTGGAAGAGAATTTTGTTTATTCGGTAATACCAGCTTCGGAGGATAGTCTGTCATGTAAGATCTAGTTAGATCATGCCATTTTTCAGTATGAGAAGAAACAATAAAAGGAGCTATATATTCGCTTGCTGTCGTTTTATAGAAAAGTATTAGACATCCCTTACATCAATATATTTATTCAATATTTGTATTTTTCTCCCTGATGCATATCAAGACTTTTCAAAAATGGAAGTTGTGAAGATTTTCTGAAATAATGTTGTCAGATATAATCGAATTCTTTGATACTGATATCTCCGTTATCCGAGGAGTAGAGAATTTGGTCAAAATTCCAGGGGACCCTATAAGTCACTTTAAGGTCGGGAACTAGGAAATTATAGAGTATCGGTAAGTGGGAGGGCTGTGGTGAAGTAACAGTAGATTAGGACTCTCCTGCTTGTGCAATTGTTAGTTAAGCTGCTAGAAGCTCATATCAATGATACTTCAATCATATCCATGATGCAGCTGAACAATCACACAATCTTTTCACTTGTCAATGTCATAGGGCACGGTAAATTATGGGTCACGGTAAATCATGGGTCACGGTAAATTCGTAGTCACAGTTATTCATGGGTCCAGTAAATCCGTAGGTCACGGTAAATCCGTAGTCGCGGTAAATCATGGTTCACAATGAATCATGGGTCACGGTAAATCCGTAGTCACGGTAAATCATAGGTCACAGTAAATCATGGGTCACGATAAATCGTGGGTCACGTTAAATTCGTAGTCACAGTTATTCATGGGTCACAGTAAATCCGTAGTCACGGTAAATCGTGGGTCACGTTAAATTCCTAGTCACGGTAAATCGTGGGTCACATTAAATCCGTAGTCACGGTAAGTCATGGTTCACTATGAATCATTGGTCACGGTAAATCCGTAGTCACGGTAAATCATAGGTCGCAGTAAATTCCTAGTCACGGTAAATCGTGGGTCACATTAAATCCGTAGTCACGGTAAATCATGGTTCACAGTAAATCATGGGTCACGGTAAATCATGGGTCACGGTAAATTCGTAGTCACAGTAAATCATGGATCACGGTAAATTCGTTGTCAAGGTAAATCATTGTTCACGATGAATCATGGGTCACGGTAAATCCGTAGTCACGGTAAATAATTGGTCACGTTAAATCCTTGTCGCAGTTATTCATGGGTCACAATGAATTTGCAGTCACAGTAAATCATGGGTCACGGTAAATTCCTAGTCACGGTAAATCGTGGGTCACATAAAATCCGTAGTCACGGTAAATTATGGTTCTCTATGAATCATGGATCACGGTAAATTCGTTGTCACAGTAACTCACGGGTCACGGTAAATTCGTTGTCACGGTAAATCGTGGGTCACACTAAATTCCTAGTCACAATAACTCGTGGGTCACATTAAATTCGTAGTCACGGTAAATCATGGTTCACAATGAATCATGGGTCACGGTAAATCATAGGTCACAGTAAATCATGGGTCACGATAAATCATGGGTCACGGTAAATCGTGGGTCACGTTAAATTCGTAGTCACAGTTATTCATGGGTCACAGTAAATCCGTAGTCACGGTAAATCGTGGGTCACTGTAAATTCCTAGTCACGGTAAATCCTGGGTCACATTAAATCCATAGTCGCGGTAAATCATGGTTCAGAATGAATCATTGGTCATGGTAAATCCGTAGTCACGGTAAATCATGGGTCACGTTAAATCCTTGTCGCAGTTATTCATGGGTCACAGTGAATTTGCAGTCACGGTAAATCATGGGTCACGGTAAATTCCTAGTCACGGTAAATGGTGGGTCACATATAATCCGTAGTCACGGTAAATTCGTTGTCACAGTAACTCACGGGTCACGGTAAATTCTTTGTTACGGTTAATCGTGGGTCACAGTAAATTCGTAGTCACGCGTTAAATCATGGTTCACGTTAAATTTGAAGTCACAGTTATTAATGGGCCACCGTAAATACTTAGTCACGGTAAATTGTAGGTCACGGTAACTTCCTAGTCACGGTAAATCGTGGGTCACATTAAATCCGTAGTCGCGGTAAATCATGGTTCACAATGAATCATGGGTCATGGTAAATCCGTAGTCGCGGTAAATCATGGTTCACAATGAATCATGGGTCACGGTAAATACGTAGTCATGTTAAATCAGGTGTGACGGTAGATCACGGGTCCAATGTAATGCAGGGTCCGGGTAAATCTTTGGTCACACTGATCAAGGGGCCACTGTAGTGTAGGAGAAAGATACTCCCAGTTTATTTCATTGAATCCTGTGATGTTTCCTCAGACGATACCTCCTAAACCTCAGAAGATACCTCCAAAACCTCAGAAGATACCTCCAAAACCTCAGAAGATACCTCCAAAACCTCAGAAGATACCTCCAAAACATCAGAAGATACCTCCTTAACCTCAGACGATACCTCCAAAACCTCAGAAGATACCTCCTTCACCTCAAAAGATACCTCCAAAACCTCAGAAGATACCTCCTAAACCTCAGAAGATACCTCCTTAACCTCAAAAGATACCTCCTAAACCTCAGAAGATACCTCCAGAATCATCTTCTCCTTCTTAACCCACTCGTTAGGTCTCAGGAAGTAAGCCGCCACAATTGCCACAATTGCCACCCCTGCAAACCCTGCCATCACGTAAAAGAACGTGTTCCACTTTGCCTTATAAACAGCAGCATGGTGGGGTGTACCGGGATCAGTTGCAGTGATAGCTGCCATCAACATAGGACCCAGGAACCCTGCAACCTGTCCACAGCTGTTATACACAGAGATGAGAACAGCTGAGTTGCTGGGGTCCATCTCGTAGTTGAGGGTGTTGATGGAGCCGCTGAAGAGGGTGGAGGCTGCTATCGCACTCAGAGTCAGGATCATCACTCCCCCGAAGACTGTACTGCAGGTCGTGAGACTAATCATGAAGACTATTTGCAGTGCCATGGGGACTAAGGTGAATATCATCCTGCATGGTAACCATGGTAACATCTCGTCCATCGTGCGGAGAAGGAACGAAAAGGCGATGGTAGACACAGCGATTAGAATAGCAAGACTGATGCAGAGGTATGAAATGAACATAGGCTCCGCTCCTAACACGTTGTAAAGATAGAACGGGACTATTGCAAACAGGTTGTAATAGATAAGGTTATAGGCTGGCACGTAAATGCAGAAAGCTAACAGGTACAGCCTACAAAACAGAGATTTGTACTCCTGGCACAGTCCCTCCGTCGTCAGGGCTAGAGGTGATTCACAGTCGTCTGTGCTAACTTTCTTATTGACTGCCTTGAATTTCGTCATCATGTTCTTCTCCTCCGCAGTCAAGTACCTGTAAAATGCAGTATTGAATAAGAGTACCTTCATTAGTATTGTTACACTTACTAGATAGCTAGATTCAGAGTTACCTATAAATTTGTGTTTCACGATTAATCTAGCTTACCAGTAGTTCTCCAACGATTCATGCACAAACAGGAGGTTAAGTATCAGAGCAACAATATAAGCAGCACCAATGAAGTAGAAGTAGTACTTCCATCCCCACTGTTGGTTCATGTACCCTGCTAGGAGACTTCCTGTTCCTTGCCCCACAGAGAATGTTGCCCCTTCGATGGTGAAACTTTGTCAGGATTCAGTTTATTCGCAATTTTCACTTATATTATTATTTGTTCAACATCTCAAGGATGCTCAAATATTATCTAATCTGAACCAAACTCGTAAAACTAAAGCCTATAAATACACTTTGATTGACATCAGGATTTCACGAAATTGTGCATCTTAATGTGAGATAATGTTTGTCCTGAAACCTGTTGCACTAACCTATTAATGGTATAAGAACCTTGCTTTCATTTCCAACCGAGAACTTGGCTATAAAATCAAAGTTGTACGCTATCATAACGCACGCAAGGAATCCTCTTAAGGTCTGAAATTAACTCGTTAAAAGCAGTAAATACTTGTGAATAATATACAGAAAATGACGAATAATGATATTATACTGGTGAACATGAAACCTTGAAAGAGGAAGCAACAAATCTGTGGATAAATGCGATTAAATACAAACCTGAGAAACAGCAACAAGTGTAGGTGAAATAGCAGCAAGAGTTTGGTAACAACTCTTGTTACCTGGTTACCTGGTTACCTGGTTACCTGGTTACCTGGTTACCTGGTTACCTAGTTACCTGGTTACCTGGTTACCTGGTTACCTGGTTACCTGGTTACCTAATTAAAAACAAACCTGAGAAACAGCAACAAGTGTAGGTGAAATAGCGGCAAGAGTTGGGTAACAGAGCTGTACCACTGCTGCTGTCATCAGCCACAGTCTATACGCTAATGTGAATCCTGTTGGAGGGGAGTCTTGTGTAAGAATTGTAAAACATCGAAAGTTTCTCAACGCTCATGCTCAGAGAAATCCGTAATATACTGGGGAATCAATTCACGCTGGCAACTGGCACAAAATGATAAGATATTCTGGCACAAGAATGATATTTGCTTTATTGTCCCCTGAAATTAATTATCATCAATACGTATATCATGAATGAGCGAACCTAAAACACGTTTCGCTAACAGTATCGCCAGGAACTGTGCAGTGTATCCCCAGAAGTAGGCTCCCAGCACGAGCCCCTGTGTGCTCTTGGACCAGCAGAAATCCCCCTCATCCTCCGGGTCCTCACAGTTGTGCTTTATCATTCCTCCCATCATTGCTATCGTTACTCCGAACCTGTTGATCAAATCTTGTACTTAAAAGAGCTGGCATATCAAGAATTTAAATTTTCTTATGGTCTTTAGGTAGAAAATCAGGTAGTTTCGAAGACTCCGGACTCTTATAGATTTCATAACAATGAAGATTAAATTCAGAAGCAGCGCATTGTTCAGAAGCAGTGCATTGTTCGGAAGTAACAGTGCATTGTTCGGAAGCAGTGCATTGTTCAGAAGCAGTGCATTGTTCGGAAGCAGTGCATTGTTCAGAAGCAGTGCATTGTTCGGAAGTAACAGTGCATTGTTCGGAAGCAGTGCATTGTTCAGAAGCAGTGCATTGTTCAGAAGCAGTGCATTGTTCAGAAGCAGTGCATTGTTCGGCCCCCCCCCCCCCCCCCCATTGTTCGGAAGTAACTTAAAACAAACCTTGAACACGTCTCAGTATAAGCGCTGAACAAGAGACAGAAGTACGCAATGTACCGTCTTCTTGTACTGGGCCAGTCCATCATTCTTATACAAACACTGGGCCATATTTGATGTTATTCATCATTCCCAACCAAGTACAATTGTGGTATTTGTACCATCAAACTCATCTTAATGACGATCAACATATCGAGGCAACAATTTTAAACGATTTGATTAAAGAGCATTAGGACAAATGTTACGAACAAACGTGAACTATCTACGCAACACTAATAGCATTAATAGTATGGTCAGTTATGGGTAAAATAGACTCATCAACTGCATATTTTCATAGTAGAGGACTGGAAATATATTTAACTTGTTCCACGAGTTTCGGCCGCTATCAACATTTACCACGTACCCAATGGGTACGAAATATTTCCTGTTCGATACAGAATCCAGGACGGTACGTGACTTCGTGGTTTGCAACCAGCGCATAAGGGATGTTATCGATGGCAGTAAATGTTTCTAATTAATAACATATATTAATATTTTTCAAATATTCATGTCATATTCTCATCTGACAGCTGCTATGGACACTCTTCTAATTATATTAAATTACTATCCAAGGTCTTTAGAACCGAAAAATATATATTATCAGATATTATCTTGGTATAACCTTCAAGTTACCTGTATTTTATAGTGGAAGGGAGGTTGCAAAATTTGGTGCAGTAAATTTACAGTGCAAAAAAACTTGTATTTTCACTAAACATGCCAGGAGATCGATCCTGAACAATTGTGACCAATCGCAACTGCAAAAATTGGCGCGTACTATTTCTTAACTTTTCAGCTAGAAATGAATTATTTTAAGGTAAAACAACAAAGCTTTAAAGCCCTAACCTGCCAGGAATAATATTATGTTTATTTTCCTTCAGTCACGCCTGAACATTTTGGAATCGATAATGGGAGTGGTCAAAATTTTGGACATTAATTTAACACACCTTTCCGCGAAAACCGCAAGAGAAATGCTTTTTTAGTTGGGTCGACTGGTTTTTAGGCATTTTGACCAGTATAAAGAAATACTAAATTGGCCAAGGAATAGATAATAATAAAGGAATAGGTTCAATAGGTAGTTCCCGAAATAGGACCCCCAGGTAGTGTAAAAGTCACAAAATAAATAAATATCGTTGTCTCCACTAGTTAGAAAAGCTGCAGATGAGAATATTATCTGATACGGAGGGTTATAGTACAGTCAAATCCGTCTTTTTGTCGGACAAAATTCGCAACAAAGCGATTTTAACGGGATATGGTCGGGACAGGTCCCAGGAATCATTCCAGAGAGTTCCCAAAATCCTCGACTTCAGGAAAATCCACAGTTACCACTTTTTTACCACCTTTTTACCACTTTGGTTTTCCGCAAATAAGTCACGTTCTGAATATCCTAGAAGATTCTAGTTTAAAGCATTGTGTTTAGAAAACAAAGAAGAACAACTTTTTCTTTAACAACTTTTTCAAAAATAAATTGTTTAATTAATTAATTAAATAATTAATAAATTTTCAAATATTTCAAAAATACATTTTCATAAAGAATGTTCACAATTACATTCCACGTATATTGAACTAATTTTTATGAAAATTTTGAAAATTTTCACTTACAATATTTTGGACTTGTAAACTTTTCGAAATTTGTAAAGAAAAACCACTATTTACCACATCGAATCTCCGCTAATAAAACGACTTCTGAATGTCGTAGAAGGTTCTAGATTATATAAAAGAGAACAACTTTTTACTCGACAACCTTTGGATTAAATAATTAATTAATTAGTTAATTCGATTATTAAACAAATATTCAAAAATTATAAAAATTATTTTTGTATAACAGAATCAAACGATAACAGAATCAAACGATATACAGAATCAAACGATAACAAAAATATACGTAATGTAACATTAGAACTGTAGGTATTGATCAGGATTGGTCCAATTATCTTATCAGTTAAACAAAAATTAAGTTGTATGCCATATATTAGACACAACTAGATTTAAAACAAATCAATTTTTTATATTTAAAAGAAGCCTAATGCAATTTGTAGTATCATGAGTATGGTTGAACGCATTTGCCGATAAGTTTGTTATATCAATAGCCTTCTGAGAAAATCCGGCACTACTCTGATGAAAAAAAAACGAATAAATCAAAACAAGAGGGAAGGGGGTCTAGTTTAAGTAATAATTATTATGTGAACGACCCCATATGAAATTACCAGTCCGAGTCTCCAACAGTGGCACTAAATCCTCCATCTTTCAGCCAGATAAAGAAGTCACTAGTAGACGCGGCGGAACAGAGCTCCCAGGTGATGGTCAGGAACCTGGGATTAGAGGACGGAAAGGAGGGACTGTCTGCTTTCCTTGAGAAGAGGCACCCCACCTGGCAACAGGATAAGTGAGCAGTGAACATTACAGTGTTGAACAGTGTTGAACAATGTTAAACAGTGTTGATAAGCATGACAATATTTCAAGTATTTCTGAGTGGTAAGCAATGGTGAAGACTGTAGCAGGTAGCTGATGCTCGAAACTTGGAGGAAGAAGCCAGAGTAGGATTGCATGTATCCCTGAGACGAGAGGTCGTCAGTGGACATGAAACTAGGCAACTGAGCTTTTTAGAAACAAAAAGTTGATTGGAGTGACGGAAATCAGCACACTCTATCTGTGATATCCCGGAGCCTAGGTGGTGGATTTTTGACTTTATTTGAATTCGAAGGTCGTTGAGTTATTTTTTTACAGATTATTTAGTGAGCACAATTTTTTGAATATGTGTTATGATTTGATTACATACAGAAACAGATTTTGAGATTTAAATGCTGAAATTGTCAGAAACCAGGGGAACAAGTCTCTTACTTAACACATTTTTTTACTTTTAATACTTTTTAAAAGTTTTAATACTTTCAACACTACTATATAACAAATAATTTGAGGAGGTTCGCTCAAGATGATTTTTATATCGAAGATTTCAAGAGCCTAAACTGTGTATGATTCGCCTCTCCAAACAAACCTAAAGTTAACACATTTTTAATAGTTTTATTATTAGTTTCTTGTAATCTTTCCAAGATACTGTCCCATAGATTAAATCTTCGTATGGACTTTAAAAATTTAAAAATTTCCTTACTTAGCAAGTACAAATGTCGCTGTTCGCGGGAGTAAAGACTGAGATTGATGTTAAAGCCTCGATAAAGGACCAAAGTGGAAAGACAATAAAGGTTATTTTAAAACTGAATATCAAAACTAGGCATAATTCATTTTTCATCATTTCCTGAATCAAATATCTATTTCAATTTTCATTTCAGCTTAATAAGACCTACTATGTCATGATATAAACATACTGCTATTACTAAAAGGGCCAATAAGTTGGTCCGAGTTGTATGATTTTGGAAACAATTAATATCCTAAATAAGCGCTCTTAGTCTTACTAAGGTTCAAGCTACAGAAATAACATAATCTATAAAAAGGACACGATTATGCACAGACAATATTAACGAATAACCAAGGCTGCCTAGTGTGTACCTCGTAGTCGTACGTGACTATCACTGATCTTTAATTTATCGTACAACAGTAATATGTAAACTGTTAGAACTGTTAGTGTCTAAACATTACCAAACCATACAATGAATTGTATAGATTATAAACGCTGGAATAGACTAACAAAGCTACATTTTTTAATGATTTATGGTAGTCATGAAAGCATGAAAACGATGTATCTCGAGGCGACCCGCTTGTGACTTGACTAGTTTCGACTTTTACGGCCATCTTCAAGGGAGTATCACCTAGCAGATTAAAATAATGTTTATAAATTTTATATATATTTTTATGACTATCATAAATCGTAAGATTAATCACATATTTATCTTGGGGTGACTGCGGCTACAAACATCGCCGCTAACTTGTCTATTTCTTTCAACGTCAGCCGACGCTCACAACAAAGCTATATCATATATTATTATAATATGTATATAGATCAATCAAAACGGAATAATTGCTGGAATTATGCGCTTCGCCTGTCGCCGTTTTTTATTAATTCGCTATTTATTGACATACCGGTATTAAACGTAGCACTGTCTGAAAATAAATTGGATTTGTATTAATTTTATCCGTAATTAGCAATTCCGGAAAATAAAAAACAATATAACCAATAAACGCAGTCTTTATGTACCCTATTAGGTTGATCTGAGAGAAGATGAAGAGTCAAAGGAGAAGTTTGGTCAGATTATAGACTTGCTGCTTGCTGCTGGTTACTTCCGAGCCAGGATATCAACACTGCCCCCTTTTGACAAGGTACTAGAAATGCAGTACAATAGATTGCCTAAAGTTTTAAAGTTCAATAAAATTGTATTATGCTTGGAGGGGGATTATTTAAAACATATAAGTGATACGAAATGTTTGTTTTAGCAGGAGCTTTCAAAATACATGTGTAAATCGAATTCTTATTATGCTGAATACTCAGTTGACGCTGTGTGTGTTGCCTTATAATATCCTTGATATTGATGCAGCGAAACCCAAACTCGAATGCAATTGAGACACAATTCGTGATAAAGAAGTTAGTTTTTCAACTAAGGAACAAAGCGCTAGAAAATAAATAAGACATCTGAAACAGTAATTGTAGGTAGTGGGAGGACTAGTGTGGTGTATCAGTACTTGTAATGTGGACCTAGATGTGGACCTCCTCTACCAAGAAAACTCTACTATTGGACAGAAAATATCTCTTACTGAAAAGATCGTTGCTGGTATGAACTTTTTGGAAATATAAAATAGGTTTTTAGATTTGTACCGGAAAATTTGCTTTGTGCATGAATATTTTTCAAATCGCTCAAAATTAAATTACGCTAATTCACTCACTAAGAAATGTTTGAATTTGGTAATTCAGAAATCTTGCTTAAATGTTTCGTCCTAATTCCAATTTAATGTTAAAACACTCTATTCTAGTGTTATTACACTCTATTCTAGTGTTATTACACTCTCTATTCTAGTGTTACCTCGAATGAAGTAACACTCTCTTCTAGTGTTACCTCGAATGAAGTGTCCCCACGAACTGCAACCTCATCAGATCCAGGGGTTGGACTGTATCAAGATATTCCCTGTAGTCCAGTGGCTGGTTAAGAAGGCTATGGAGAGGAGGGAGGAAATGGCTCAGTATATCAGGTTAATCTTACTATATATAAAGCGAGGCGATATATATGGATCCGTACCATTTTAATGACACCACGGCATCAACTTTAACACGACGTTCCGCAAAAACCGTAAAAGATATAAAACTGAAACTTTTTTGACTGGGCCAAATGCTTTAATGGCCTCCAAATCAGCATGAAAAAACACTAATGCTAGTGAAATTAATTAATAGCTCATTTCCTATTTCTCATTTTTGGACAATCAAACTATAATTTTTGATTTCCCCCTGATTTTTTTCAAACCCACATTATTCATCAGAATTCAAAATTCTTTTGACGCACTATGTTTTGACGCACTTGTACCCCTACTCCGTGTATTCTTGTATCACGTCGTGACCCCCTCTGTCGTTTCACTATAGAGTTTCACTATAGAGTTTCACTATAGAGTTTCACTATAGAGTTTCACTATAGAGTTTCACTGTAGAGTTTCAACGATACAGGGGGAGCCGCGCACAACGTATGACAAGTGTATTCCTGTTCGTTAAGTACTGTCCTCTCAGGTCGTTTAGCGAGATGCAGTTCACAAAGGAGTACACCCTTCCCTCTGAGAAGGATAAACAACAGCGGGTAGAACAAGCTCTGATAGCTTTAGAGAGATTTGTGGAGACTCACAGACCTAACCGGATTTATAAGAAACCCAACAATGCTAAGAAACTGAATATCAAGCAACAAGTGAGATTCTCAATGTGAGAAATGTAAACAAAATTGTAGATTGAAAATTAAGGATTAATTAAAGAATTAATTGATTATTTTAACAATATTCAAATTCTACTTTTAATCAATGTTCAAATACAAGAGCAGTGTGAAAACAATCGAAAAATATTGTTCGTGATTATAATTGTCTCTAAAATACAGATAACGTCCGAAAACTCGTAGATGTACGTGATTTAGATTCTAGAGACATGAATTGGCCTGGGACCACTACTAGCATAGTCACAACATCTACAAAGCTGCCATATAGCCTGACTGACAATTTTCTCGACTGACTGACAATGTTTCTTCTTTTTCCCCATTTAGAATACAAAGATTAGTACATTTTAGCTTATGATTAATATTATATTTTTACCTATAGTTTACTTAGATTATCTTCTAAAGAACTCGTAAGAATCCCTTCATGATATCTTCTTACACGCTGTTGTTCTGTTCCGACACATTTCCAAGAAATGTGAGGTGCAGGCTGTTTTGAAACCAGTTCAGCCAGTCTCCTTGTCCAGTTTACCCGGTCTGTTCCGTGTAACCACCAGTCTCCTTGTCCAGTTTACCCGGTCTGGTCCGTGTAACCACCAGTCTCCTTGTCCAGTTTACCCGGTCTGGTCCCTGTAACCACCAGTCTCCTTGTCCAGTTTACCCGGTCTGTTCCGTGTAACCACCAGTCTCCTTGTCCAGTTTACCCGGTCTGGTCCGTGTAACCACTGGTCTCCTTGTCCAGTTTACCCGGTCTGTTCCGTGTAACCACCAGTCTCCTTGTCCAGTTTACCCGGTCTGTTCCGTACTCTAGGTGCACAGTTCAGCCAGTCTCCTTGTCCAGTTTACCCGGTCTGTTCCGTGTAACCACCAGTCTCCTTGTCCAGTTTACCCGGTCTGTTCCGTGTAACCACCAGTCTCCTTGTCTAGTTTACCCGGTCTGGTCCGTGTAACCACTGGTCTCCTTGTCCAGTTTACCCGGTCTGGTCCGTGTAACCACCAGTCTCCTTGTCCAGTTTACCCGGTCTGTTCCGTGTAACCACCAGTCTCCTTGTCTAGTTTACCCGGTCTGTTCCGTGTAACCACCAGTCTCCTTGTCTAGTTTACCCGGTCTGGTCCGTGTAACCACCAGTCTCCTTGTCCAGTTTACCCGGTCTGTTCCGTGTAACCACCAGTCTCCTTGTCCAGTTTACCCGGTCTAGTCCCTGTAACCACCAGTCTCCTTGTCCAGTTTACCCGGTCTGTTCCGTGTAACCACCAGTCTCCTTGTCCAGTTTACCCGGTCTGTTCCGTGTAACCACCAGTCTCCTTGTCCAGTTTACCCGGTCTGTTCCGTGTAACCACCAGTCTCCTTGTCCAGTTTACCTGGTCTGTTCCGTGTAACCACCAGTCTCCTTGTCCAGTTTACCCGGTCTGTTCCGTGTAACCACCAGTCTCCTTGTCCAGTTTACCCGGTCTGTTCCGTGTAACCACCAGTCTCCTTGTCCAGTTTACCCGGTCTGTTCCGTGTAACCACCAGTCTCCTTGTCCAGTTTACCCGGTCTGTTCCGTGTAACCACCAGTCTCCTTGTCCAGTTTACCCGGTCTGTTCCGTGTAACCACCAGTCTCCTTGTCCAGTTTACCCGGTCTGGTCCGTGTAACCACCAGTCTCCTTGTCCAGTTTACCCGGTCTGGTCCGTGTAACCACCAGTCTCCTTGTCCAGTTTACCCGGTCTGTTCCGTGTAACCACCAGTCTCCTTGTCCAGTTTACCCGGTCTGTTCCGTGTAACCACCAGTCTCCTTGTCCAGTTTACCCGGTCTGTTCCGTGTAACCACTGGTCTCCTTGTCCAGTTTACCCGGTCTGTTCCGTGTAACCACCAGTCTCCTTGTCCAGTTTACCCGGTCTGTTCCGTGTAACCACCAGTCTCCTTGTCCAGTTTACCCGGTCTGTTCCGTGTAACCACCAGTCTCCTTGTCCAGTTTACCCGGTCTGTTCCGTGTAACCACCAGTCTCCTTGTCCAGTTTACCCGGTCTGTTCCGTGTAACCACCAGTCTCCTTGTCCAGTTTACCCGGTCTGTTCCGTGTAACCACCAGTCTCCTTGTCCAGTTTACCCGGTCTGTTCCGTGTAACCACCAGTCTCCTTGTCCAGTTTACCCGGTCTGGTCCGTGTAACCACCAGTCTCCTTGTCCAGTTTACCCGGTCTGGTCCGTGTAACCACCAGTCTCCTTGTCCAGTTTACCCGGTCTGTTCCGTGTAACCACCAGTCTCCTTGTCCAGTTTACCCGGTCTGGTCCGTGTAACCACCAGTCTCCTTGTCCAGTTTACCCGGTCTGGTCCGTGTAACCACCAGTCTCCTTGTCCAGTTTACCCGGTCTGTTCCGTGTAACCACTGGTCGTACTCTAGGTCTCCTTGTCCAGTTTACCCGGTCTGGTCCGTGTAACCACTGGTCGTACTCTAGGTGCTCGGTTTACTGCTCTGATATCCGGTACCCTATCGCCAGAGAACCTGCCTTGTTGTGCTGAACCCTTGAAGAAGCAAGGGAAAATCAGCCTCATCTTACTGTTCAGGAACTTCCTGAAACTTGTCACCGTTAGACTATAGATGTAGAAGTTTGCCATTACGTTGATGTTCAGGAAGGCGCTGGCAATCCTGAAGTAGTCAGTGTAAAACGGGCTAGGATCCCCCGGTTTCTTTTCCACATAAGACTCTGCCAGATAATAAACGGTGAGAGGTATTACAGATATACTGTAGACCACCGCAGTTAGCACAACTGTCATGATACCCTGCCATCGCAGACGCTCTCCTCGAGCAACCTTCCTCGCCTCATTCAGCAACAGAACTGTGGTCACTATGATGGTGACATTCGGGATGATGCCCAGAAGGAGAGAACTCACCGGCTTCAACCATTTCCAGGGGTGAGAAGAGAAGTTGTAGGCACAATCATACTGCCTGTAGTCAAAGGAAACATCGTGTCTATCAGTGAGAAGGAACGTAATGGGAAAGTAGAGGGAAACAGTCCACATGAGAGCGCAGAGCTGGTGCGCGTGTTTTCTAGTTAAGGGACCTGTTCTGAGAGGGTATTTCAATAACAGGTACTTGCTCAGTGTCATGGCACAGATCAGGAAGACACTGGCAGTCATGGTGTAGCCCCCAAAATATGCTTTGAGATAGCACAGTCCAGCTCCCAACCCCTCCTCGCTTGCTTCCACTGCTAACGAGATGGTCCGCTGCAAAATCATTGCAGAGAGCAACAAATCACAAACTGCAATATGTTGGATTATCGTCACAATTATCTTGTGAAGCTGAAAGGCTTTGTATTTGATCGACCCAACAAGGATGGTCGTGTCACCGATGAAGGATGCGGTGATTATGAGGAGGTTACATGCCGTCCAACTGTATCTTTCTGCGTCGCTGTTTATCCCGAAAAGAGTTTTGTTGGAGTAGTTGTACGACATCACAAAGCAGAATTAGAAATGAAGCTGGGAATACTGTTAATAAGGAACCACGCCTTTTGAGTTACTATTTTTGAATAAGGTCAGGGATGATATTTTTATCGCTGCTACTCAATCGTCATTTTGGACATGAACCTTAATGAAAATATACACTTTGATGTGTACAATCACCATAATGATGCTGTCCAGATGAGGTAATACAGGGACGGCTAGGTCCGGTTCTCTGATAGCGTACCTACTAAATACAATGTACATATAATATGCTGTATCTAGCTGTATCTAGTACGTTGTAGTTGGCCTTCAGAGGATCTTTAAAGGCAATGGTAGCACTTTCATTCACTTAGGAGTCTCTTTCAAACAGTCAGAAAAGTATGAATTTCAAAACCAAATAGAGAGAGGGTTACAGTAGATCCTGGAACGTATGCTTACCTAATCGACATGTTAGGTGCGTATTAGACACCTGTGCTGTTACTCGGCCATATCCAAGAGTGCACCCAGCGCTAACTTATAAGCGAACTTACAGACATCTCCCTCCTTTAGACACAGTCCACGCTGCTAGAGTACGGTAATCTGGCCAGTTTGTTGGAATACACTGCAGCTGATGACATCGACGAAACTGAATCTAAAGGTTAGTTTTTCCAGAATATCTGTTAAGTAATTACCGTTTGGGACCCAAACTTTGGGTCCTTTATTTGGTGGGTTGAGGTGTTTGGACGCACCAAATCTTGGAAATGTTCGTACAGATCATAGGATGTGTAATACACATCCTATGATCTGTACGAACATTATACACATTGTGTATAAGGAGTATGTTTGTAGCCAGTATAGCTGCCAATAGGTACAGTGCCGACCCGCTATTAGCCGGCTAATAGTGTTCTCATAATATGTCCCATAACAAAAGCTAGACTAACCCAATATTATAATGGATTAATGTTGTATGTAACTGTAATATCTCCCGTCACATCCCCAATATTACACTGACAATGACTATTATTTAAGAGTTGTACCCAGCTACCCTGTAATGTTCCTCTTTATTACGACGTGCTGAATGAGCAGGTGCTGACTTCCTCACATCTGTGGAATATTGATTATTAACCTCACAACTTTCATAACGAGCTATTTCTCAGTCACCATCCATGACATAGGTCAGACTGTGTCAAGTAGTCCTATATTGATTAGCTGCTATACAGATTACAGACTCAAAGTTTTACTTTAACGCTTAGGTGCTTATTGTGATGTTATCAAATTCATTGCACCCGGTAGTATTGGGCACCTAGTCAGAGCCCCTTAATTAAACACTTTTATTAATCACTGCAATGCCTGGTAACCTGGTAACCTGGTAACCTGGTAACCTGGTAACCTGCTCTATTAAGGTTGTCCAGGCAGAACCAAACCTGCAAACCTTCCTTTTTAATAACCCTAGATTTTTTTAAATAACCCTGTAAGGCCTGTATACACTTGCTCTTTTGCAGTATTGCGTATTACTCGACTAATGCTCTATCGGTAGTGCCGGTAATCGGCCGGTAATCGGCCAGTAATCGGCAAGAATCTTCCAATCACGTATGATAAAAATCACTTTTCTCCAAAAATTTGAGCTAATTTGATCCTACAGCTAACAGCTGTGATAATTTAAACATACGAAGGATCTCTCATAACAGAATGTTGGCCGATACAGAAAATCCACTTTCTTCTGTTACCGTGCAGCAGTTCGACGAAGATTCATTTAATTTGTTGTTGTTGTTGTATATTTTTCTTACTAGTAGTAAACCCGCGCCCAGGTCAATATCATTAAAATGGGGTGGCATGAACCTCAATGGGATATTACATGAAAGTATACAAGGAGAATCATATATATTCGAACAATATCAATAAATATTATGATTGATTAATAACGTTTGTTTTAATTTTACCGTAAAAATTATAGTTTGCTCTATAAACCCTGGTGCTAGCACGTGACCTGCACGTGACGCACGTGACCTGCACCTTAAACGCATACAGAATATACTGTTAATCGATATCTTGGAACCTTTAAATGGTTGAAGTTTAGTCCGGCACGTGTCTGTCACGTGTCACGTGGTAGACACGTGTCACGTGTCTGTCACGTGTCACATGTCTGGCTCGTGTCACGTGGTAGCTGATCGAGTGGTTTATTGAATAGTATCACTCATCTTGGGAGCCTGTTTATTGTTTTACAGGGTATCTTTTATATCCCGGGTCTATTTGAAGACTTATATTTGAGCTCTCACAGTCTGGGTAGTCTATAATACGACTCAGAAATTTCAGCGTACCGTAGTGCTTTCTTATTTTCTTATTTAGCTGATACTACGTTCTACACTCTACAGTGTACCCAATTTGCTCTGATTGTGCTATCGTAGGGACTGCCGGTGGAAGATAAATTTGAAATTCCAACAGGATCGTGTTCTCTTCATTGTGCTGATTCCGGGAAGCATTCTCTTTACGCTCTAATCATAGTAAAAATCGAGATATTGGTCATTGAAAAATGAGTAATTATAGGCCTGTCAATTAATGCAGCCCAATTAAGAGCTGATCAGTTGCAGCTACTTGTGCCATATAAGGGATAACTGAAGATAACAGTGCTATCGCCCCACCCAACTTTATTTAGTGTGAACTACCTGAAATCTTAACTAAAGTGTTCGAGGATCCAGAGACAGGATAACAATGAGTTCGTCTTGTTTGTGCTTTTTTAACTTATGACATGTTTGTATGTGAGTTTGTTCCATCTGTACACATTAAACACTATTATAGAATAAAGTGTTCTAATGGACGCTGTTATGTAGCAAATGACACTGTGTTTTAAGGTGTAACCACGCTTGGACAACATACTTTATGTTATAATCACAAAGTCTGTAAACATTACGAGCACGAGATAGCTGTTCGCCACATGTGTATAATTGCACTGTGGTTTGGATGATATTTGCTCTGAGTAAACGCTATCACGGTTTTGCGGTTCGTTTGTTCCTAAATGATATGTAAATAGTATGTCAATATGTACATAGTTAGCTCAGTTAATTATGCCTAAAGACGTAATTATCGGGTTTTCGGAGTTTTAATAATAGCTATATAGAAGCGCTATCTTGTAAGCATGATATGTTTTACTGGTTATCAAATCGGCTTGCTCTGATCTAAAACACAACTGCAAAGTTTACTAATTAGTAAACTACTAAATTCAGTGATTCATAATTATTCGGCAGTCACTGTTGAGTCATAGAGTGTAAATTATATTAAATGCGTTACACACTACCATACTTACCATAACTCACATTGTTATAAACCTATTAGAGGACCAGAGGATCTGTTATAAGAGCTAACAGATGGTAGACTGGTAGAGGTGACTCCCTCCACTGGTAACCAGTTATTGGTAACTGGTTACCAGTAGAGGTTACTCCCTCCACTGGTAACCAGTTATTGGTAACTGGTTACCAGTGGAGGTGACTCCCTCCACTGGTAACCAGTTATTGGTAACTGGTTACCAGTAGAGGTGACTCCCTCCACTGGTAACCAGTTATTGGTAACTGGTTACCAGTGGAGGTGACTCCCTCCACTGGTAACCAGTTATTGGTAACTGGTTACCAGTAGAGGTTACTCCCTCCACTGGTAACCAGTTCTTGGTCAATGACCAGAGCACTCTTCTTCGTGGGTAATTACTTTGTCTTTCCCGAGCAGCTGTTATTATTTGTGGACATATTTTTAAATGAACAAGCGTTTACTGACATTCTTAAATAAGGTGAGGTCTATGAAGTGCGACTTGGTGCGACTTTGTGCGACTTTGTTTTCGAAGAGTTTCAAATAAAAGATTTAATTACATCATAAGGAGACACGTGATGCCCATATAAGGAGCTATAAGTTTCGGGCACAGGGTCTTGAGATCGATTAGCCTTGTGAGATGCCTCGTAGAATTTCATTTAAATTGATAATCTCCCTCGGGATCTGCTGAATACTGCTGGATCAAGACTTTTTCCAAGCTGTATAGCTGTATATGGTCAGATTGAGAAGGATGTCTAAAAGCCCCACCAACGGAATAGCTTTAAGCTAAAAGTAGATTAGTGACAAAAGTGAATAGTATTAACGATACCATACTATACTATTGATATTTTTTTAAATATACGCCTGTATTAGATTATCAATATACTATTTTTATATAAGTAATAACTTAAACTCCAAAATTCAACCCTGCAATGCAAACCATTATGCCGCCAAACCTCTTCGTTCATAAACATTAAACATATGTCCCTTTCAAATTCCCATTATTTGTTAAACAATCATTTTGTGTGCAACATCTTATTTTAAATCCCAAGTTATAAAAGCCTTTGAACTGTTTCAAACTTTCAAGATCATTAGTCATTTAAACACTGCAGTTTTCACGATGAAGGAATGCACCAGATGTCAAATGAATGATTATCACAAAAAGTTTGATTTAACCGTTTCAAACAATAGTATCTGAATACCACCTGGACTCTATTCCACACGTGAAATCCCTAAGTTGCCCAGGTAAGAGCTATAGTTTGCCACGTGTCTGGAATCTGGATACTTGTTTACCTGATTTAATCCCTTATCTTCTTTAGCTGCTGTCACGTTGATAATATTCTCAAATATCTGGGCAAACATTTTATAGAGTCCTTTTATCAGAGTCCGCTTTATCCTGTCAATTTTCTTATGGAACCGTGCCGTAAGTGTGAGTTAACCTTGCCTTACGCAACCCTTAAGCGACCATCGAAGTGACCATATGCCCTAAGTGACCCTTAAGCGACCATCGACGGATATCTAAGTTGCTTGATTTGCTTCATTTCCCTCGATAAAAAATAAATACGAACTATATAGAGCTTTTATAAATCAGGATGTTCAACTTTCTATGATATTCAGCAATTGTTTTTGTTGTAAATATTTCGACCATCTGCCCACATGGAAGTCATTATCATTCGCTATGTTGTAGCGTTAAAATTGAGGCGAACATCTTTCCGATAGGTCAACAGCTGCGGTGCTTCCCCGAACATACACATACCTCGGTTGTTGGTTCGATGGTAAAACGTTGGTATTCGATGATGGTACTAGTACTAAGGCTAAACAGCCACCTTTTATTTTACATTGAGTTGAGCGTACTTTTTCAACTGTATTTGCGGTCTATTAAGGGTTGTCTTCGCCAGGCTTTTGTATTCGTTTTTATGGACACGCCCTGTACTGCTGTATTTGGAGCCTCATTTTATTACTAAACATCAATTGTCTTTGTTCCAAGATCAACTTCTGGGTCACGGTATATCATTCACGATAATATGGTTTTTAAATGTGCTATGAGAAGATTGTGGATTGAATTATCAGTTTCACACCTGTTTTAGATTAGAATTCTTTATATCATTTCGGAAATATAGAATTCCATATAGCATATTAGAAATATATTCTATCAAATGTGACGTCTGGACAATTTTCCTCGAATGTCAGTTATATACCAGTTCTATCATCTATGTCAATAACATAAAACTGGTATATAACTGATATAACATAATGTTATTACTATCAGAATATTATAATAATCAATTCACATGGTTAAAATTGCACTCAACTTGTTTCGCTGCATCTGTTATTACATATCAATAGTCGGTTTTGGTTATCTTT